GGATGATAGAGAATTTCAAGCTCTATCAGAATACATAATTACTTGTCTCAAAAGATGGCACTATAGTGATAAAAAATTTAAAAAACTAATTTTCACGACAGTGACAAATCAAGTTTATGGGAATCTGAACATGAGAGTGCTTTCATTGTTCTCAATTTATTTTGATAATGAATAGGTCGAAACTAAAACCTAATTATACAGAGTGATAGAAAACTCCACGCGCTTTCAGAATATGTAATTACTTTTAAAAAAGTGTAGTATTATAGTGGAAATATATTCGAAATACCGAGTCCAAATATTTTTGTCCAGGGGTATATATAAGGTGATAGAGAATTTCGAACTCTATCAGAATATACAATTGCTTTTTAAAAAAGGTAATTCTATAGTGATAAAAAATTTAAAAAACTAATTTTGATGACAGTGACAAAATCAGAGACCATGACGTAAATGAATTACAAAATAATTCCCTTTCTATTAGTTTCTACCAGGGTTTACCAGGGTCTACCAGGGCCTACCAGGGTTTCGCGGTACCCACATCGAGACTCTAGTAGACACTGGTAGACCCTGGTAGAAACTAATAGAAAGTGAATTATTTTGTAATTCAGTGTTTTTGAATTATTTTGTAATTTATTTACGTCATTCAGTGCAAAATCAAGTTTTGGGAATCACACTTTTGTCGCATCTTCATTCCACTTGATTAATTTTTCACCATATAAAAGCCAGATATGATCAAAAGGCATATTTTGATAGAGCTCGACGAGGGCTATCGAATGGCATAATTAATTTCCCAATAAGTAGTTTTCGAGTGTAAAAAGAGGTCAAACATAGTGGCTAACTTTTTTTTTCCAAGGGTATATATGAAACTTGAAACATGAATTCCATGGAAATTCTACGCTTCAAGTTTCCTCTTACAACTTTTAAATTTAAAGTGTCAAACAAACAGAACTCTGAAGAATTACGACTCAGAGACATTTACATGCACACATCATCGCAGCTGGTGCGGATGCGGCGAAAGGGGTTTCATCACTGTCGACTTACAGGCATTCACGCGCACACGTCATCGCAGCGTGTGTGGATGTCGCGAAAGGAGTTTCACCACTGTCGACTTAGTCGCATTCACACGCACACATAATCGCAGCTGGTGTGGGTGCTGCAAAAGGAGTTTCATCACTGTCGACATACACCCATCCACACTCACACATCATCACAGTTGGCGTGGGTGTCGTGAAGGGAGTGTCATCAGTGTCGACTTACAGGTATTCAGACGCACACATCATGGCAGCTGGTGTGGGTGCCGCGAAAGGAGTTTCATCATTGTCGACGTACACACACGCACCGACTTATTATCTCAGGAGTGCTGCTGGTGTGAAAGCTGAATGCTGAAAGTAAAAGTTGAAAGCTGATTTGAATTTATGTTTCAAGTTTGCGACTACTGCATATTGATATCGTCAACAATTTTTACAACTAAGTAATAGACATCCAGCGAAGAATTGGAATTATTATCTTAAATATTTACAAACAATTCGAAGTGATTGAAATTTTTTTGTAATTACACAATGCGTAGAACTGATATAATTACATAACTTTCAAAAGCTTCTATTGGAAAGTATCTATATTTCGCTGTTCTTCTTGTAATTAATCTGGATTTATTTTGAATCGATTTGAATCGCTTTTACCAATGGATATTTGATCTTTATTGTTTAAGTAATAATCAACAATTTCATATGATATTTTCTAGGAATATCCCGGGAAAGTAAATTATGTCCTGGGGTGAGTGATATAGAGATAGATAGGTATAGGGGGTATAGGAGATATAGAAGGTATAGGAGATATGGAACTTATGGGAGATATAAGAGGTATAGGAGATATAGGAGATGTAGAAGGTATAGGAGATATAGATTAACTGATACAGCTAATCGATGAATAGTGTTTGGGTTTAAACATCTATTCATAAAATATATTGGTGTCACTTGCCGACCCTTGCTCGAAAAAATCAATCATAAAGCATAAATAACTGTTTACTATATCTTTTTTATCTCCTATATCTCCTATACCTCCTCTATCTCCTATGTCTCCTATACCTCCTATATCTTCTCTATCTCCTGTATCTCATATACCTTCTATATCTCCTATACCTATCTATCTCTATACCTCTTACCAAGGACATAATTAAATTTTCGGGGATATCTTCAAAAGACATGTAATCATGTGATTTAATTTTTGTACAGTAACATTTCAAAGATCGAGAAAGGCATTGGTACTGAACTCTTAGTATGGATCGCAACGTTAGTCAACGTCAGTGGTTGGTTAACTGTATCTTTCGTTATCTACTGGCAATTAGCTTTGATCATGCTATGCTTGTTAACATTGGCCATTGGTGGTTTATTTCTGTTTTCTAAGGTAAGAAATATTGTTCATTAAATTAAATCTGTATCAATTGTCATAGCTCATCTCCAATGAAGCAATGAATGAATTAAGGGCATACGCAAAAGCGGGACAAATCGTTCAAGAAGTGTTTAGTTCACTTCGAACTGTTCTTACTTTCAATGGTGGCAAATATGAACAAAAACGGTAAAAGAATATATAAAACTAGTTTACTTACATCATGTGATAAAACATGTTGTTATTTTTATTGCATTTAGATATGAAAGAGAGTTGCATCCAGCTCATTGGAGTAGTATACGTCAAGGTGTGGTGTTTGGGCTTTTTACTGGATGGCTATCTCTAATAGCCTACCTAATTTATGCAGTTGGTTTCTTCTTTGGTTCTTTCTCTATGTCAAGCAAAGATCATCTTCGTATAAATATTAGTAATATTCTTTTCGTAAGTAATTCATATCATGAGTCAATAAAGAAATGAATATTCGACTACTATCTTAATACAGGTCGCCCCCATTTTTGCACAATCTGTGAGTTACTGCAGTTATATTTCTTCTTTCTTGCAATCATTTTCAGAAGCTCGAGGTGCAGCAGCAGCGGTGTTTCGACTGATTGACGAGGTAAATCCGAGTAAATTAAGATCTCATATTGATGACAATATTCTCTATTTGTTTACATGATATAGGGAAATGACACAAGTATCAATGAGAAAGAAATATTCAAAGAGGATACAGAAGCCATTTATAATATCAATGGTGATATTGAATTTGGCAATGTCAACTTTATTTATCCATCTCGGAAAGACGCACCAGTTTTGTGTAATCTCTCTCTCATTGCTCGTGCTGGTGAGATAACTGCTCTCGTAGGTTCAAGTGGCTGTGGTAGGTCTTTTCAAAAGCAAGAATGTTAACGAGATCTTAGTTGTCTTAATAATTTATTCACAGGAAAAAGTACATGCATATCACTGTTTCTTCGTTACTATGAACCTTCATCGGGTCGAATCATGATTGATGGTCGATCGATAACAGACTACAATATTAAACAATTTCGAGAAAAGGTTGGAGTTGTTAGTCAAGAACCCGTACGTTTTGTTTTTTCGTTTTTCTTTTCTCCTTTTCTATTTGATTCTGTATTGTAATAGATTCTGTTTGGTATGAGTATTTATGAAAATATTCGTTTGGGTAAAGTAAATGCAACACGAACAGAAATTGAACAAGCAGCACAAGAAGCAAATGCACATCATTTCATCATGCAATTACCGGATGTTTGCGTTAAATAAACCTCTTTATCTACACATATGTGTCTTTATTTCTTGTTTAGAAATATGAAACGCTTGTGGGTGAATGTGGTATACAGTTGAGTGGTGGTGAAAAACAGCGTATTGCATTAGCTCGTGCTCTTGTCAAACAGCCTACTTTCCTTTTACTGGATGAAGCAACAAGTGCACTTGATAATGTTAGTGAAAAACTTGTTCAAGAAGCGCTCGATCGAGCATGCAAAGGTAACAATTGTTTTATTTGCTTATCTTATTGATATATGATTCTGTAAAGGCCGTACAACTATTGTTATTGCTCATCGTTTGACTACAATTCAAAATGCTCATCAAATATATGTATTAAATAATGGAACTGTGATTGAGCAAGGTACACATGAAACATTGATGACAAAAGACGGAGGAAAATATCAATCAATGGTTAAACGTCAACAAATGGAAAAAATCGATGATGACGAAGATGGTATGATGAACATGCAAAAAGCAACAGAAGAAGATGAAAAGTCGATAAGTCTGTTGATAATTTTATTGTGATGGTCTTCACTGTTCTTCGTCTTTTTTATTGAATAGTTGAACGCATTCGTTTGTTCAGCGATAGTGAAATAGTTGATGAGAACAAAGTACCAATACTATTGCAATTATTTATAAAAACCATGATTGATAATCTCTCTTTTAGCAAAGTTCAAAGCCATTGATAAAAAGATTTGTTTTTTTAAGACTCTTGTCAATGAATAGTCCTGAATGGATCACTATCTTGATTGGTTGTATAGCATGTGCACTTAGTGGAGCGGCTCAACCAATGTTCGCACTTTTACTTGCCAAAATAATCGATGTGAGTGATTTACCAATATAAATATCGTGCAAAAAAATTGACAATATACATTGTTTTATGTTTATTTGTTTATTGTGCAGGCATTTAAATATTGTTCGACCTCTGAACGAAATCGTCAAGTGTTGATTACTAGTTTCCATTTTATTCTTTTGGGTGCTCTTCTATTGGTTTTTCGTTTCTTTCAAGTAAAAATGCTGTTTTTGAATTTGATCAATGAGTTATTCACTATTTTGTTTTTATAGTATACAGCTTTTGCCATATCAGGATCGAAATTGACACAACGTATTCGTGCGAAAGCTTTTGCATGTCTTCTTCGTCAAGAAGTTGCTTACTTTGATCAACCTGAAAACAGTTCTGGTGCGATTTGTACTCGTCTCTCTACTGATGCATCAGCTGTTCAAGAAATGACTGGTACACGAGTAGGAATTATCTGTGAAATTCTCGTACTGACGTTTTGTACAATTTTACTTGGATGTTTCATAAGTTGGCAATTAACATTGATCGTTTTTGGCCCTGTTTTTATCCTATCTATAGTCATCTATGTAGATGTGCGGGTAGGTCTATGGGTGACTCAACAGTCCAATCAAATTGTTGGACGAGCAAGCACAGTAAGATCAGGCTTTAGCTAATAGTCTTTTTATGTAGAGAGAACTAAAATGTCATGAATTATTTGATAAACCTAATATGCTATTAGGTTGGCAAGAAAGTTTTTGCGTTTTTTTTAAATATCCTAGAACAGTCGAGAAAGTTGTAGAAGTTTCCATACTAAGGGCATATAAATGGGGTACGAATATCTTTCAAAAAACAACAAAACTATGGATATGGATGTTGATCTCGAATTAGCAATGAAGGCATTTCGTAGAGAGTTCCGAGTGCTTCTGCTTCATGAATTTCGTTTGGGTCGCAAAGCAACGGAAGCAACAAGCAACATTTGCGGCACGATGGGCAAGGATGCACTCTCCATCCGTGCAGCGCAACATTGGTTCAATCGGTTCAAGAATGGTAACTTTGAACTCGACAATTCACCTCGTTCCGGAAGACCACTAGAGGTGGATTTGAATGTCGTAAAGCAACTTATCGAAGAAGATCCTAGATTGACTACACAGTGTTTAGCAGAGCGTCTTGTGTGCTCTCATACCATAGCGGAAACACATATGAGCGAATTAGGCAAGACATAGACATATGGAATTTGGATACCACATGATTTGTTACCGCATCAACTCCAACACAGAGTTGACGCTTGTATGGAATTAATGACGTCTCATCAGAACTATGAATGACTTTGCAATCTTATTATTGGCGATGCAAAGTGGGTGTTGTATATTAACCACATGCGAGGGCTGCGCAAATACAGACACAAATTGTATCGGCCGCTTCCTATAATATCTAACATGTCCCTACTGATAAGTATCTATCGGCATGTAACGGTATGTAACAGCATGTAACGGCATGTAACCATTTGTATCGGTCCTATGTATCGCTATAACACCATATATACCCCTGAAAAATCTAGAATTCAAGAATTCATGTAACGGCATGTAACGACATGTATCGACCTTATGTGGGTGTGGGGTGTGGCTGTGGCTGTGGCTGTGGCTGTGGCTGTGGCTCTGGCTGTGGCTGTGGCTGTGGCTATGCGTGTACCGTGTGGATGTGGGTCTCCTCTTCATGTACATCCACCCCCACCCCCAGCCCCACACCCCGCGATACATAAGGCCGACACAAATGCTGTGACATGTCGTTACAGCCCGTTACATGAATTCTTGAACTCCAGATTTCTCAGGAATAGATATGTCGTTAAAGCGATACATACGGCCGATACATACCGTTACATGAATTCTTGAATTCTAGGTTGTTCAGCGATATATAGGTCGATGAACCGATATATAAGGTCGATACATGTCGTTACATGCCGTGACATGAATTCTTGAATTCTAGGTTTTTCGGGGTATATATAGTGTTATAGCGATACATAGGACCGATACATATGGTTACATGCCATTACATGCTGTTCATACCGTTACATGCCGATAGATACTTATCAGTTGGGATATGTTAGATATTATAGGAAGCGAGCGATACCATCTGTATCTGTATTTGTGCATCTATGCCACATGCGCAAGCGACAGTGGCTGGAAGCTGAACAAAGAGGTGTAGCAACACCCAAAAATAACCTCCACCTAAAGAAGATTATGGTGAGCGTTTGGTGGGGAGTAAGAGGAATTATTAATTCGGAACTTCTTTCAACTGGCGGTGCTATCACTGCTGATCTCTATTATGAGCAATTAGATCGTGTTGCCACAAAACTTCAGGAGAAGCAGGATAGAATTTGTGTTTTGCTTGACAACGCCAGACCTCACATTGCAAAGTCAATGCGTGAAAAATATTGAAGCTCAGATGGGTTACGGTTTCATATCCACCTTATTCTCCAGACTTGGCTCCCACGGACTACCATTTGTTCCATTCTCTTTCTAAATATTTGCGCGAGAAAAAATTCGACGACAAAAACGACCACAAAATGGACCTCATCAACTTCTTCGGCCAAAAGTCTCAGGACTTGTACGAAAGCGGGATCCTTTCTCTTCCAGAGCATTGACGACAAGTCATTGATAGTAATGGAGCATACATTGTTGAAAGCTAGTTGTATTCTTGAGGTTGAAAAAATAAAATGAAAATTTTTGAGAAAAACGCAAAAACTTTCTTGCCAACCTAATACATTCATTGTCTTTTACTTGTGCAGCTTGCTGCTGAAATTATTCACAATATGCGTACAATAAAACAGCTGTCGGTAGAAAATGAAGTTTTACGACAATATTCTGAACTTATTCATCAAATGTTTATGTTGGTCATTTGTATATTATATACATGTATAAATTTTTAATCAATCTTTTTTCGTTATAGGTTGTCTTGGAAACCTTTGATACTAAATGCTATCGGATATGGCATATACTGGACGCTAGATGTACAGACCATGGCATTTCTCTATTGGTGTGCTCTTGTCCTCTTTGAAAAGAACGAACTCGCGTTGAATCATATTTTAACGTAATTGAAACCTCAGTTTGATAATCTAGAGACAATGTTTTGTACCTTTTGAATTTATTAGGATCGTTGGTTTTGCTGCTTTTTCGATCGAAGTACTAAGAACCATCGGAATAATGTAACATTTGCAATCTCCACTTTTCTTTTTTTCTTCTACTGTCTCCATTCTAGGTCTAACCGTATCGTTTCATCAGTCTCGGGTGCTGAAGCGTTTTTTGATTTATTTGATCGAATACCAACTATCGACAATGCATCTACTGAAGGACATGAATTGGTAGGAGAACACGGGAGATAACTATTTTCTTTCAATCATGGATATACTATAGATATAATATGATTTGTGTAGGTTGATTTTCGTGGTGAGATAAAATTTGATCAAGTCAAATTTATCTATGCAACTCGACCAACATCTGTTGTTCTTGACAAATTTCAATTGAATATCAAGCCAAGTAAGTGAGATATGTTTCGACTTAATCATGTTTTGTTTTTAAATTTTTATTCACTGATAAGGTCAACGTGTAGCTCTTGTTGGTATGTTTGAATTAAATGTTTCTTTTAAATGTTAATTATATAATATGATCAATATAGGGGCATCCGGATGTGGAAAATCAACAATTATTCAACTGTTGGAACGATTTTATGATGTTACAAGTGGTCAACTAGTTAGTAGTTCTTCGATGTATAGTGTAAGTAATTATTAAAAAAAATTTCACTCAATTTAGCTTCTTGATGGCATTGATATTCGAAAACTAAACCTTCATTGGGTTCGTTCTCATTTTGGCCTTGTCAGTCAAGAACCAATTTTGTTCGACTTAACAATTGCTGAAAACATAGCATATGGCTTAGAAAATATTCCAATGAACGACATTATCAATGCAGCACGTAAAGCTAATATTCATCAATTTGTTGAGCAATTACCTCAGGTAAAACCATACAAAATTATTTAATGTATCTATTACTATTGTATGATATTTTTTTAGAAATATGAAACAAAAGTAGGGTGGAAAGGCAGTTTTCTGTCAGGGGGTGAGAAGCAGCGTGTTGCTATTGCTCGTGTTCTTCTACGTCGACCTAAAGTATTGCTCTTAGACGAAGCTACAAGTGCCATGGATTCATACAATGAACAAGCAAGTTTGCTTTTTTCCTATTTATCAATAGAAGCTTCATCTTCTTTTTGTCAATTATAGATTGTACAAGAAGCTCTTGAACAAGCTCAAACAGAAGATCCTAGTCGAACATCACTCATCATTGCTCATCGGCTATCAACTGTTCGTGCATGTGATTTGATTTGTGTATTTAATAGAGGACATATAGTGGAAAGTGGTACTCATAAGGAATTGATACAACGACGTGAAGCTTATTATAAGATGCTTGCTCAACACAATTTAAAATAACCATCATTGAACTATTTTGAAAGTGAAAATACACTTTGTTCAACATTAAGAGAAACTTTGCCTAATAAATCTAGCGCATGATATAGTTACATGGCTGAAGAATATACTGTACAATTTTTATTATTAATAAGAAGTTGAGTGTTTAATAGAGTTACACACTATGAAATCGATTGTTTTTAACTTATTGCTCCTAGTTGAATTATAGTACAAATGATGATGGTCTCGATAATTACTGCAAGTTAGAATTATTTATACAAAAGACAACTCAGCATAAAAAAGCCTAGCTTTCATACTTAATCATAATAGCACTAATTAATCATGAAGTGATAAGTAATAATCCTATTTATAACCATAATGATTATTAGTATCCTTTTATTATCGATATCTTATCAATCCAGTCAGATAATTCTCATATAAAAGAAAGTTCATAAAAAATCTAACCACTCGTTGGGTGTGGGTATGGGTGTAAATCAGAGATGAGCACAGGACAGGACGGTCCTGGTGTCCTGGTGTCCTGTCCTGCAGGACAGGACGTGATTTAGATTTTTGTCCTGTTCTGCCGCCCGCCAGGACAGAGATTGCCAACAGGACAAAACAGGACAGGACGTGATTTTGATTTTTGTCCTGTCCTTCCGCCCGCCAGGGCAAAGGTAGCGATTAGAACAGGATGGAACAGAACAGAAAATTTCTCGTATAAACTTTCTTGTTCTATTGTTATTCTTATTTTATTAAACGACTATCATTTTTGACGCGTCACTTTTTAAGACTCGACGTATGTGATGATTGATAGATATCGCTATTAAAATGAATGATAACACTAATTCAAATATTCGTTAAAAAAGTTATCAATTGGATGTATCCATCGATGATTCAGAAATTTTCACTCACAATATAAACAGAAAGCAATAAGAAACAAGTGTTCTTTGTTCTTGTCACCTTTAATTGTTTTTGTTCGACTTCGTATTTATTTGTTTAGATTTATTGAATATCAGAATAAATATTCAGCATGAGCAGTATAGAAATTTCATCGTCGTCAAACACAATTAATTCTTCAAAACTTAAACAATTACTCAAATTCAAATCAAATAAATATAGTGTTATAAAAAAAGAGTCGTCAACACCATTAACAGGTTGGTGGGAAGTCTTTGGTTATCCAGAAAAATTAGATGAACATGGTGTATTTCAAAGAATCTCAGGATATGTTA